TTCATTGTTGATTACGAACGTCTTTTGACATTTAATTTAAGAGGTTTACGTTTATGGATGAATTTGACAGCGACAATGTTTCAAAATTAGGAAGGGAAGCAGTGATTATTTGAATATATAGACGCTTCGCCCCTGGGCTCTCTGGCTGCTTCTCTAGCACAGGCCTGCTACTACTGATTCTAGACAGGGAATCTAGATCTAGCTATCACCTGCACTATTAAAGTGAAATAGGCCGTATATGGTAAAATAAAAACAAAACTGTGAATTGTTTTGTCAGTCAGTTCATCCCAATAATTGACATAGCCGCACGTCATAGTTAAATAATGCGATACCGAAGCAACACGTTATTACAGTGTGCAGGGGAGAGCGGGGTGCTAGGGTCGCTGACCGGTCGATTCGGTGGTTCTGCTTTTGTAGATCTATGCATTTTTTACGGAAAGCCCTATTACTAGATCTATTAGTGTTGTGAAAACTTAAACCTCTACAGCTCAGACGTCAAAAGATGTTGGAAAATAATAATACGCCCTGAAGTTTCATAATTTATACAGAATAACACAGCCAGTAGTTTTTATTTCATCGAGTTATAAAAATTGCCTTGTTTTCAGAAGCAAATTTTAATAGTTCCAGTTCTACCGAATCGATTTTCACGCGAATTCAACCATTTTGATGATCTTTCTTTTCCTTTTAAAAAGATGTAGGCCTGTCGGATGTGGAGTGCGATTAACACTTAGTTGTCAAAACACGAGGCTTTGTGGCCGATCACAAAAGTCTACGGGGCTTATCGAGGGCGATTCGCCCTGCCGCGTGCACGTTCACTAAACTGCCAACTACATAGAATCTACTACCAAAGATTCTCTACACGATCTTTGCTACAACTACTACTACATGTACTACTACGAGACAGTACAAGAGAGTGCCGCTCAGGCAAAGATAGTGTAACTTTGACTCAACCACGTTGTGTACACACATTTTATACCCCAAATTTGACCCGGAAGTCCATTTGGAGGATTTGACCTTTTCGCTTGATCAAAGTGTGCCAAAATGGTAGCCTAGCTTTTGCCCCTCCATGAAGGAAAAGTCTGGCCCTCATTCAAACCATTGGGATTGAGCAAAATGTTGCGTATTGTGCTTTGTTCTTACAATATTCATTATGATAATGATTTATAAGTTGTACACTGATACAAAACTGTACTAAATGAGAAAGGTGCACCATTATGAAAGTGGAACGAACTCAGTTGCCTGAGAAGGGTAGTTTGAGCATGTGTGTCCTAAATAAGCTAAACTCCCTTCCCATACTTTATTTAGGCCACAGGGGGCCTAAATAAGCTATACCTTATTTAGGCCATATGTGGCCTAAATAAGCACTCCCTAATAATATTTGTTTTGGGAATGTCGGAAATTACAGATTGAAGCTAGACTGAAACAAATGCGTGTTAAGTGCTGATTTAAATTTTGATAAAGTGGTGGACTCCCGTATATGAGCTGGTAAAGCGTTCCACAAGGAGGGGGCGTGGTGTGAAAAAGCTCTCCCTCAAAGTCTCTGACTTTTGATTTGGACAGGTCTTAAAAGTCTTTTCGTCGCCGATCTTAAAGGCCGAGATGGTATGTATTCGATGACCATGTCACAAAGGTATGATGGTGCAATGTTGTTGACGCACTTAAAACAAAGAACAATTATTTTGTACTGAATTCGAGCTTTCACCAGGAGCCAATGTAGTTGAATTAGCATTGATGCTATATGCTCTTTGAGAGATTTCTTTAAAATTATACGAGCTGCTTGGTTCTGGAGTCGCTGTAATGTATTTAACGTTTCAGTGGGAAGGTTTCCAAACAAAGAATTGCAGTAGTCTAGACGTGAAAGGGCAAAAGAAGAGATGAGGGTTTTGATAGAATCAACACTAAATGTTGACACTTGTCCTATTCTGCGTAGTTCTAGATAAATTACCTTACATAGATGGTTTATATGATGGAGCATAGAGAGTTTGCAGTCGAATAAACGCCTAGATTTTTCGCTTTATCTGTGAAAAAGATGTTATAATTCCCAATACATATATGGTCAAAATTGCGAAGCAATATCCCCGGTTTGGCATTGCAAAACAGAACTTCGGTCTTATCATCATTCATTTTAAGTCTGTTTGACTTCATCCATTTTTTTACCTCCACAATACATTGTTCCATGCTGGTAACTAGACAATTGAAATTTGTTGGCAAAACAGACTTGTACAGCTGAGTGTCGTCTGCGTACATGTGGTAGATAACGTCGTGCTTCCTAATTATTGAACCTAAGGGCTTTGTATAAAGTGTGTATAAGAGTGGTCCGAGCACGGAGCCTTGGGGCACGCCAAATTGCAAGTTGAAAATGGATGACATTTCACCATTTACAAGTATAGACTGTGTACGATTAAACAAATAGGACTCAAACCATTCAAGAACAGCCCCAGATAGGCCGAAGCTATGGCCTAACCTCCTGATCAAAATTGAATGATCGATGGTATCAAATGCAGCACTTAGATCGAGTAAGGCAAGAACAGACACTTTGCCTTCGTCTGCTTCACAAAGGCAAAATATTTGGCCTGTTCTAATCGCCCGATCTCGGGTGGCTAGCGTCAGGCTACTCGACGCTACTGGCCCGTGGGGATTTCTGCGACCTCGGGTGGCTAGCATTTTCTGCCCACCCAGAGCCGGTCATCTAGATCTAGTCTTAGTCTTATACGGGGGGCCCACTACGGCTGGATCGGGCCGATCGCCCTACTCGATCGCCTGAAACTGAAAACTACAAACTACATGTAGTTTGTTTTTGAGGCGACCGAGTCGCGCGATCGGCAGATCCCATCCGTAGTGGGCACCCGTATATTAGGTAGCGTAAACACGGCCTCGTGGCCTTCCGAGCGACATGAAGCTATTGAGAGCACCTAGCACACCTCTGTGATTGGCCCAAAATAAATCATAGATGGTGTTTTTCGCCATCTATATTGTGTCACTGTCGGTCGATATCAGTCATATGGAGGAAATTTCAAAACTCAGTTAACATTATTTTTAAAAAACTATCACATTTTCCCTACAATATAAAACAAGAATGAAGTAAATATGACTGTATTTGACGAAAATACAGAACTTTTCATTGTGCGAGGTGGGGAAACACGAAGACAAAGAAAATGGCTTCCAAAGTTGAGCAACATGTTTCCATAGCAATGGGGGTCTTAGAATTGAGATAGAGACTTGAAATTTAGCAGTTATCTTGGCTATGCCACTGCAAGGTAATATATAAAAGTAGAAAACTATTCTTACTCAGAGAAAAAACTTATGGGCCAAACAAAATTTTAACGAGAATGGACTTCACGTCAAATGCAACAAAATATTAGCGTACCAGACACTAAATTTTCGAAGTAGCTGTATGTCAAATTCATCTGTTTCATGTGAAAGGCCTATGTCTCCTGAGAATTTTGGTACCATACTTTTACCTCCCAGTCAATGTTTAAGAGAATGGCAGCTGTTTCAATTTAACATATTAATACAATATTGCTGAAGTCGCTAACTGGCTGGCTGCAACCCCATGTTTGACAGATGGTAAAAGAGTATCAAGTGCACCAAACATCTCAACATTAAAAGAGTAAAATCACTATAACATAGAAATGAAGCCTAATATTTTTCTAGACTGAGATCATTACAAATCAGTATTTTAATTTTATTGCATCAAACACGATGATCTGTCGTTATTTCAATAAAAACACCGAGCGTTGTCTCGGCCGGCGTCGAACCAGCCTTCGCGGCGAGCGAGCCGGCTCAATACTGTAGTATACTGAGTGCTCCTGGTAGTTTCGCAGAAGGATTCATGGAGAATAATTCCAAGCCGATGACTTTATTCTAATAGGAAAAGAACTGTTCTTTCTATTGGTGCCTTTTTTTTAGCCGGTACTTTACCCCTTTCGAGTTAAAAATGATCTTTGAAAACTTAGACCCTTAATTTTCAAGGTTTTCTATCTAAATGCCAAAGGCCAAAAATAAAATAATAACCACGGGAAACCACGCTCAAAGCTGTATAGTTCTTTGCCAATGAAAAGACGGCATTTAATCTTTCTGCACAGCATTCGAATGCATGGGTGTTACTTTTGAACCGGGGGACCTCGCATTCCGACCGCGGGGGCTTCCCTTTCCAGGCACAAATGCTCCAGCTCCAAATACCCGCATATGCAAACAACTTACACTATTATAAGGAAGAAAATCTGAACTTCTTCGAACGGTTCAGATTTGGTGTTTTATAGCAAAAGATCAAAGGAACAGAGATCTAGAGTAGCCCCATTTCACCGAAACCACGTGCTCGGAAAGCCACGAGTTGGCTTACGAGCCGTGTTTACAATATCTGATTATACGTTTGCAATAGCACCATAAACACACGAGAACACGAGAACACACACACACACACACACACACACACACACACACACACACACACACACATACATACCCCCAGTGGGTCGGAGGGATATGAATAGACCCACTGCTTCGTTTTGCAGGAGGTGCAACCCCTTCAAAAACGAGGTGTCGCGCACGACCCCAACCCTCTGGGACCCGGATTCGACACATACTTTGGTGTATCTTCCTCTTCTCCTTCTTCTTTCTTTCTTCTTCTATCTTTCCTTCCACCGCTGACCTCATGTGCAGCAAAAAGAGAGGTCACCCATCCTACAGAGTGGGCGCCTTGTTGACCGTGAGGTGCGACCCGTGCGGAGGGAAACCGGGTACCTGGCGGTTGAGGTGAGATCAGTCTACGGACTGTCCCTCACCAACACACCTCTTTGGCCCAGCTTAGACGGGAGGGTGGCACGGCCCATGCCACTCAATCGGTTAGGAGTTGAAACCCCTTCAAGCCCTGGGTCAATCTTGAAAAAGATCACTGATCTAAACATATTATTCAAGACAGGAGATGCTCTAAGACAGGTTCTGGGATACATTCCTACGAATATCCATAAATTGTCATCTGGTGCTCTCCTCATCAAGTGCGCATCGGATAAAGAATTGGCCGGACTTGAAGAGATTACGACCTTCGGTGGTGTTCCTTGTGTTTCCGAGCGACACCAGAAGTTTAACCAGTCGAAGTGTGTGGTCCGCAGCCATGAGCTGAAGGGCTGCTCAAACCAAGAAATTGTGGATAACTGTGAGAGTGTGGTCGAAGCCCTCCGAATTACTATTCGGCGTGGGGAGAAACGAATACAAAAATTCTAAATTGTGATTCGTGCCGCCCTCCAGCCACCGTTCGGGCATCATACTTGGTCTTGGACGTGCGACCCTATGCGCCGAACCCTCTACGCT